TATATGGAATAAATGTGAATATCAAGTAAACATGTTTCATCAGGGCAGTACATGATGAACTTCTTGCTGACTCTGGAGTGGGTACTATGGACAAATGTGTGTGTGTGTGCAAATAGAATTCTGTTTAATCGTTCTAAATCAAGATGATCAAAAATGATGCTGCCCAGTTTCATAGTGTTATCTGATTAGGATTAACTCATAGATTACCTTGCATCAGTTGTTCTGTGTCATGTTATGTGGCATTATTATTTATTGCACTTTGTGTGATGTTTTTGATTGATTATGTTGTATAGTAATTTTTGTGAGATCTTTTGTTTTGTTCCATTTTGTCGAGATATGTAACTCTTCTTGCTGTTGGATTTAGTTGTGTAGCGTAGGGGAAAGGTTGGCATTTGAAGACAGGGGATAGAGAAGGGGCCGAGGGACTCAATTTAATCAGCATTTTTGCTCAGTTATTGATCAGGCAGTGTCAAGCCATGTTGTTGCATTTTCACTCTGCATGTGAAATGAACAACAAAAATGAAACATTGTTTATCGACTCTACCTTTTTTTTTTTGCTTTTGAAAAATAGATCTTAGACTAATTATCAAGTGTCTAATAAAGTACAGTGTACATGCCAGCAGCAAATAAAGTATAATAGTCCACAAAATATTGGGATATTTAATAATAAATACGAATCTTTCATCAAACCGAACATGCATAAGCCCTCTCAAGATACAACAGTGGAAATCTTGAGTATATTGTGAAAATTCTGTAATGAAAATCTTGCTTGCAGAAACACTGCTACTGGTCTATCCATTCAGACAATACATTTTTGTTGCTCAAAATGAATATCTGAGAAGCATTTTGTATATTTCACATCACAATCTTGCTGTGCCGAAGCCTAATTAGCTTGAGTGACCACATGGTTGTACTTTATGCTCAGGAATGGATCATATTGCCTGTGGTTTCAGGCTATGTTGTTCGATGTGGTAAATCTGTTTTGGTACCAATATAGACGCCTGAACTTCATCTACATATTAGAATGACCACTTAACAATGAAAGTAAACTACTGCAGTGAAGTCTGACTCCTGTGAGGCCCTAAATTGACTGCGTATTGACACGGGAAGCAACAGCAGAGGCAGCGTTCTGTCTGTCACAACCTCTCTCTTTCTCCCTCCGAACTCACCGATCCATGGACCGGGAGGGAGGACGGGGTCTTACCGCTCTAGCAGAGTCTATGTGTTTGTGTGGGCGGGCGAGAGAATGCCTCACTATAGATTTTCCAACAAATTAATGAAGGTACTGAGCAAACGAGGAGGAGGGAAGGAGCGACAGCGAGAGAGATAGAAAGCCCCTTCACAGAGAACTGAGGGAAGCCCTTGCAGCGGGGGCGAGAACGGAGCAGCTCCCTCACCCTTGATCTTTCAGCTGGCCGTGGGTGTGTGGACGCAGGCACCCCAGAGTCCTACGGGTAAAGCCTTCAGCCGGCCGCGCGAGTGGGTGAAGAAGACCTTTGATGACCTCTGAGGTGGAGGAGGTGATTTTTCTCCCCCATCCTCTGCACTTTTTTTGTTCATCTGTAGATAGTTTAGCACGAGTCAGGGAGGGGAATCCGCGTGTTTAGCATGACTGCAAAGCCAATGCGGTCAAATTAACCGCCTCTGCATGGGACCCCTAGTGTTCTCTACCTCATTTGCTTCTCTGCTGTCTGATTTATAGTTGCCTACCTGGGCTGTTCTCTGCACACAGGCTGTCTAAAGGTCACATGAAAAATGGATGGCTCTTCGGTGCTGGGGAAGGAACTCAGGAGGAGATGCAGGGAGAAAGAGAGTCAGGAGGGACTAAGATGATGCCTGAATGCTTTATGTGTTATGTTTCAGCTTCATCTTGATCTTTTTAAACTGTATTCATTTATTTGTTTAGCTATAATGTGTCTGCGTGTGTGTGTGGTCTGAGACGAGACTGTGCCTGTGTTACTCATAACTATGAAGTCCCTTCAGATAAAGCAAAGAAAGTGAATTAAAGCAATAGTGAAAAAAAAAACCCGCCCACGATTCCATCTGAATGACTGAGGATTAAAGAGGCATCGGCAATACTCACGTCAAACCAACACCTACACTTCAAGTCAAATGAAACGTCACACGCACATGCTCTAACATTCATACTCCCCTACAAATGCGTGCGTCGATGGTCACAGTAATCGTGTAGCCTCCGCATGCATGCGTTTTTGTACACGTTCCCTTGTATTTTCATTGGGGTGTGTGTGTCTGTTTTTCAATTAAGTTTAAGCTGCGACAGTGCTTTCTCACAACTCTCATCTTCTGGTCTCCAAGGTGATAAATAAATGATATTTTGTTACCTTCCCTGTGGGACACATATTATTTGGTCTATCTCTCTTTCCTTCCCTGTACAGCTTATGAGCTGCAGTAGTCTTTGGACACCCACTAAGAACTTAGTGCCTAACCAGCCTTACAGGGGCAGAACACCTGCCACAGTTTATTCAGCTCTGTAATACGTGAAGCTTGTTTCTGTGGAAACTAAATGTATAAAAGTAGAAATTACCATGTACAAAGAAGATTATAACATTATATTGCGGTCCGATACAACTTTAAATAAGAAAAATTTAAATGAATTCACATTTTACCCATAACGTTTACGCATAAGAAAATATACAAAAATATATGATGGATATCACTGCTGATTGGTTTTGTTTCATGACAATTGTTTTATGAAATTGACCCATTATAAAATGTTAAAACAAGTAGCGGCATATATATTAATTATATCTATCAGGTATGTAATGAAGACAAAATTATAACATTTAAGAATTTAAACGTAGAAATCATACAACATTTCTGTTTAATATTGGTTTCCTTAAGTCAGAAACCTAAAAGAATATATTTTGAATTTCGCATGTTCAGTAATATATGATCACATGTGTTTCTTACACATTTTTAGATTACATTTTCACTTTCTTCATCTTATTGAAAGTTTTGTTTGCTGCAAATTTGCAGCAAATATTTTTTATTGCAAAAAGTGTACCATACACCATATCTGGGTTATTAGTGTTTAGTATTTATTATTAGTATTTGTTATTAGTATCATTATCATTTAGTATTATTTATATACTATTACAGTATTTATGAATATTTTTAATTAGCTTTTACTTCTTTTTAGTTGTCATTTTAATTTTACTTTCAGTAATTTTGTTCTTTTGTCATTTTTATAAGATTTTGTTTTTTAAATATTTATATTTAGCTTTATTTTTTTTATTTTTTTTACTTTAGTCATTTAGTTTAGTAATTTTAGTACTTCAACTTTTTTTTATTTCAGTTGCCAAGGCAACATATTCTAATTTTTCAAATATTTAAATTTTTCAATTATTTTAATCTAATGTTTGCCCATTAAAATAATGTTATTTAAAAAAAATATTTTATTAGTTTTACTAGTTTCAGTTACCATATATATACAGTTACCAGTAACACCAGACACGAACAGAACACTCAACAAAAGCAAATAGAACCCATTAAAATCAGTGATGCTGTCTACAGTGGATGCGGTGTGACCGAAAGCGGCACGACAAATTCCCGACAGTAAACCGATGCCCCGTTTTATTTCTGACATACTTTATACGCTATTTCTGACATGAAGAACATCTTCAAGAAAAGTATTTTGCAACGGTCGCATCCTGTGTTGACAGCCTCCAGCTGTTGCGCCGTGGTGTAGACATGGTGTAAGACCCATGGTTTATCTCCAATACTATCACTCAAGCATTTGCGGTACGCCACTGAGTTGGTATTCAACAGATTGGTCCAATGTGAAGTTATAAAGAGGAATCAGATCAGATACTGTTATTCTAAACACCAGAAGCTGTTTTTCTATTTTGTAACTAATGATAAGAGTCAGATATGGAGAAAGTTCACCAAAGATTTTGTTGTTTCTGGCTTCCAGCATTATAAATGAGTGGTTTATGTTTATTTTTAACAATGCCTCTGATCAGGTCCCATGTTAGTCTGACCTTAACAGTTTATGAGGCACATATCAGGCCCTGTTTACACGAGAACGCTCGCGGGTGAAAACGTAAAAATATTATATCAGATGTGCCTTTCGTTTACACGGCGACAGCGTTTTTGGGGGCTTAAAAACGCAAAAAAGTGAAACCACCCTCCAGAGTGGAAATCTTAAAAACGCTCCACCGTCGCGTTCCCGTCTAAAGGGTACAAACGCAAAAGTCTGCTAGACAGTGAAGGCACAGATCTGCTCACGGTGGCCACCTAGCCGCCTGGAGTGCATACTACATCGAATTTCACACACTTTTGCTTCACCATATGCACGCAGATTTCCCACCCATAAGCGCTCGTCTAAACGCAGAATAAAAAGTGATAACGCAACGCCACTTTTGAGTTTTCTCTTCAGATCGTTTCCGTGTAAACATAGCCTCAGTGTCACAATGAATGCAGGCTTTGCAAACAATGTTACTGAAAGATGCAGCACCACAAATTATGTCAGATCTGACAGCAAACACAACCCATAAGCACTGTTATTCAGTCATTTCACATGAAGATGCCTGTAAGTCTTGAAGGTACTTAAGCAGAAATCAGAATGTTTAGCAGAGAGTGAAAAATTATCATGGAGAACTAAATTATGACTGTTCTTGTGTTGGAAACCTTAAGTAACTTTATAACTGGACCTCAAGAAAAAAAAAACACTACCTTTTAAAAATTTGGGATGCATTAAATTGATAAAAATTGACAGCAAAGGCATTTATAATGTTACAAAAGATTTCTATTTAAAAATAAATGCTGACCTTTCTATATATATATATATATATATATAACTTTCTATATAAAGCAGCATAACTGACAGACACTGAAGACTGGAGTACAATTCATATATATATATATTTAATAAAGTTATTTTATTTTTTCACAATATCATAAGAGCGTATGAAAAGCACAATTGTGACTCCTTGTCATCTTCATCTTATTTTCTATTTTCGCTTTTCTCTTTTGTTAAGGGGCCAGGTGAAGCCAGTACTAGGAAGGTTCAGTGAGCTGAATAACCTGCTCCCAAAGTTGGGATTGGGTCCAGGAGGTGTGGATGCTGCTCTTCTGGATGCAGGTTGCTCCTCCATGCAGATGGATTCAGCAGAAAGGGGCTTCTCCCTCAGCAAGGATGGACCGCTAGACATGAGGATGGACAGAGACAGGTTCGACTACTACCATGGCTCACTTCTTTTCAGTATAAGGACTCATTGTCACTGTTGTTTCAAGAATCATTTATGATATTAGCAATGCCTGATTTGCACTCGATATACACTGATGGCCAGAGTTATTATTATTGGCTCACACGCTTATTGATTACATCTACAGAGTCTCCGTGCTTCTCTATTATAGCTATTCAAAACTGATTCTGAACAGGTGTAAGGCATAACCTAATTACAGCTTAATATGATGAAAGATGACTACTGCAGAGCCTGGTGATTCAGAGACTGAGCTTTGTGGAACACATGGAATGTTAGCTTTAAGATTGTAGGTGAATAAACATAACTAATTTAGGTAGCGAGAAGGACTCCCAAAGATCAGGTATTTCTTTGAACAATGGTTTTCAATCCTGGGACCTTTACATGAAGCCAATTTATGTGGCTAGCCAGATGTTTCAGTTTAGTTTGGTGAAAATGGCTCCATGAAAGTGGCTCGTTGTTCATCACCATAGTAACTTACACTCAATGGCTAACCTGCTCCGGGCAGGTTATAACCTGGGTAAAAGATCTCAAACCAAAATTAGATCAGCTGTGAGCAAAATGACACATTTCTGATGCAATAGTCGCTCCCCCAGTTTCTCTAAAGATCACTAAAAGATTTTAAAGAAAAAACTTGTCTGGCTTTCAGTAATGACTATTTATAATTGTTTTGTGATTTATATAGCCTACTATTTATATACTTATTATACCCTTAATCCATTACACATGAGCAATTTTAGTTTAACAATTATTAAAGGTTCACCCAAAAATGAAAATTCTGTCATTAATTACTCACCCTCGTCGTTCCAAACTCGTAAGACTTTCGTTCATCTTCAGAACACAAATCTTTTTGATGAAATCTGAGAGATTTCTTTCCCTTCATTGAACGCTACGCAACTACCAATTTGACGCTTTAAAAAGTTCATAAAAAGATTGATTGTAAACTAATGAACATATGAATTGAGCGGTTTAGTCCAAATTTTCTGAAGAGACTCAATCACTTTAAATGATGGACAGATTAAATTTAGGCTTTTATGTAAGCAATAAGGTACGAGAGGCTGTGCTGTATCGTGAATAAGTAACGGCTGGAGGGCGTTGTTAGGCACGACGCGAAGCGGAGTGCCTGCAACCCCTTCAGCCGTTACTTATTCACGATACAGCACTTGCCTCGAGTACCTTATTGCTTTTATAAAACGGTTGCCACACAATAAAAATATTAAAGCCGAAAAATATGTATCTATGCAACTTTCATGAAGTAAAATCACTAAAAGCCTGCCTTCCGCTGGAAAAAATAGTCCCGGAACGTGAACAGCAACAGAAGTTACATATATTATTTCGCCAATAGATGGCGGCAAAGACTGTCTTTATGAGTGAGTGAGTGAGTGAGTCTGTAGAGAAGGCTTTTGAAAGGACTCGAACTTGTGATCACGGAGAAGACAGACGCAACTGACAGATGACTAACGTTATGCACGGAAAACCCCATGACTGTTAAAAGGACAAAATATGCAGCGGACATTCAAACGCATTTTTTTATTATGAATATAGGACTGACCTGAAGGAAAATGCTACGTCTACTGTAAATGCAGGTACACTCGCTTACTCGATCTCTCACAATGCTCTGCTCTAGCTTTAAATGAACAATATCAATGAGATGAAACATCTGTTTAAGTTGCTAAGAGTGGTTGCTAGGGGTGTTGTGTAGTGATACATAGAACCGTTGGGTGAAGCGGTCATAGCCGTGTTTTATCGTGAATAAAGCACAGCTATTGACCAATCAGAATCAAGGATTGGAACTAACCGTTTTATAATAATAAACATTCATCAACTCACCAACACAAGAACCAATGAGGTTCATTCTCTTGTGTTACGCATAATAATTGCCAAGTCTATACTATATAGACTTGGCAATTATTTTTAAACAAATAATAATCTTGTATTATAATCTGTGGAATGACACTATTTAGGCTGGGGAACCACATGTCAACAGTTTGATCTGCTATCTTTAATAAAACCTTCCCTTTAATAAAAAAACAGTTGTGTTTCATATCCCTGTCTCTGGAGTACCACCAACAGTATACACATTTTTGGATGTCTTCCTTATCTGACACACGCATTTCATGTCAATGAGTTTCTACCAATGAGCAGAGCAGTTGAATCAGGTGTGTTTGATTAGGGAGACACACAGACTTTGCAGGCTTCCAGGACCAGGGTTGGGAAAGACTGGTCTAGGCTGTATCCGAAATCGTCCCCTATACCCTCATTCATTATTCCCTACATTAGTCCACTAATATAGTTCACTTGAGGGAGTGAATTTGGATACTGAGTGCGCCGGAAGGGCTGCCTCCTTTGCATAGTTTGTGCTTGCTGTTGAAAAATTATTTGAAAATTGGCAAACTGACAGCTCCAGTAGTAAGATGACAAGATTTATCTTGAACTCTGTCATGGAAACTATGTATAAACCTTAATTAAACAATTTAATAATCAATTAAAAAGTAATTTATACCTGTATGATATTACGCTGTACCCACATTGGACCAGCGGTTGGGAAAATGGATTGATGGATGATTCAGCTGCAGGCGGCATCTTCTAGTCAGACGTGGGAATTCATCCAGCTTGCGACTCTCACACGGTGCATTATGGGTATTCTCTAGACGCTTAGTGTAGATCGGTTGTACACTCGTTATTGCGGTGCATTGTTGAATTGAATGAGTGCACTCGATAACGTCCACTATGGTTTTGGACACCACTACATATTGCTGTCCCCTCAAATAGTGCCCTATTTAAGGATATTGGGGGCGATTTCAGACACAGCCCTAGAGTGGTTTTGTCATCGACATCATCTATTACACCTCACATGCAAACCCCTTTTCCCTCTGACTTGAAGAAGAGCGAGAAACCTTCCTCTCTTATTAGGAAGTTTTGTCAAAGTTTTAACTGTGATAATGAGGTGGAAATCCCACCCACTGTAACTGACTGAACTTTTTTTCTGGGGGCGAGATGAAATGGTTGAAAAAAGAGAGACACCCAAAGGAAAAAGAGAAAGGGCAAGATATAGTGTAGGTCGTTCCAGGTCCTGCCCACGGTATCTGAATACACTTTATTTACGTGAGAATTAAACTTTACGACAGCATGACGCTGTCAGACGAATCTAGCTGGCCTTCAAGAAGAACAGAGCATACCTTGCATTAATAGGCATGTCTCCCGGTTTGAGTTACTCATTCTGTGCTTTTAGTTGTGCCCACATGAATGACAAACTAAATAGGAGAGAAAACATTCAAGGATAATGTGAGATCCAGAACGACGTTGGTTCCAAAAGAAAGGTTATGATAAAAGTTTCATCATGCATCTCTCAGTGTGTTGCATGCCTTTTATGGATAAAGTTGACTCCAAGTGACTAATGACTGAAACTGCTTTTGCCCATGCTCACTTTCCAGTGTCAGTGAGAGTACACACAAAAAAAGTTGTAAATAAAACAAAGATTTATTTGAGTATGTTTTATAAGAAAATACTATTTCAGTATTTCTACTTCAAAATGTTCACATTTAAATTCATTGTGTTACTTGAAAATTGATTGAAAGTAAATTTTACACAATTTTGTTTTTGTGTACCCGAGAGCTCAGTTTTTCTTTGTTTCCTTCACAATTAGTACAGAGTCAAAGAGATGTGTCATTCGGAATCCAAAGTATCAAACCCAAATCTAAGGAAATAATTACATAAGTACAAATATGAAGACATGAACATCTGAGTCAAGATGTTCAGGGAATATATGAATTAATGTGAGTATATGAATCACAGTACAATGTGTATGTACAAGTGTGCTGAACAGCTGCCGACTGAAACTGACTAGATGAAATATTAAGTTTTATTCGTATTAGTAAACTGATATATACTGTATGTCCCCTTTATTTAGGTGTGTAACTTTGTCTCATTTACCCTGGTTTCTTTGTTCTCCCCCGAGTGTGCACACATATTTTCCTAAAGAAAGCAAAAGCGAATGCATAATTCAGATCATGATTTGATATTTTTATATTTTTCGCTAACCGCTTCTCCCTCCTGCTCTCTCATGTACACACACGCTCTCTCTCTTTTTATAGATCTCAAGCCCACATCTCCCAGAGTGGGAAGGGTGGGAGGGGTTTTCACTGGTGTCTTAGAGCTGTCAGGCTTGGCTTCTGTCAGCCAGGAACTTGTGACGTCAAGCTGCTTAATTGGGCTCCTCTTTGTGCGTAGGTACCCCGACATGCCCTGCGCGGCTGACGTGGTCAACGCCTTAGATCAACAGGCGCTTGCGTCCGTATTGGCTGCGTATGGGGAGGAGCGGCACACCAGGAAAATTGCGGCGGCCATCGCACAGGCACGCAGCGTCTACCCCATCGGCCGGACCCTGCAACTGGCCAGCATCGTAGCAGGTACCCCCCCTCATTAATTCCCTACACTAGAGGGAGGCTAGGAGAGAGAGCAATATTAATGCAAACTCTCCCTATGGGACCTATTTGTCCTGGAAAAAGAGAAGGGGAGAAAAGATAGCATTTTCTAATCCGAAATCTCTGCCGTTCTCCTTCCCCCCACTCAGCTGCCTGTTTCTCACTGTCTGAGTATCCATCAGCAGCACATGCCTTGTGAGTGACAAGGCTCTTATTAATAAAAACCAAAGCGATTTAGGGAGCAGTAGGGAAAACCTGCAGGTGAGGTTCAATGCGTTTTTTAGCCCCTTTCCTTAATTCGTATTTAGACTCGCACTCCCATCCTCTCCTCCCCCAGACTCCCCCCTCCTTGTACCCTTTGATTTGTTTCTCACACTCGCTCCCTCCCTTTTCGTGCCCTTCACTGCACCCCCACCAACACACTTCTCCAAACGCACGTGTCACACGCACCACATTGCGGCAGCTCGATGCTTTTTGATATTATATTTATCGCTGCTTTTTTTTTGCCGGCGCTGTTTCCATAGCCCGACGCTGGCGACATAGTCACTTCAGAAGATGACGGTAGCACGAGGCAAGCACATGCGTCACGCCGGGAGAACAGGTGTGACTAAGGGCAGTTGTTTGATCTTCTTTGAAGAGTAGAGTGAGTCAACAACAATGTTTATTCCAATCAATCTGGAAGCTTCTGACTCCCGAGGGTCCCTGGGGGTCAGCGGTGGGCTGCCGGCATTACCGTTGCCAAGGGAACTAATTGATGGACCAGGAGGTGGGATGATATGTGTGCATTTGTATACGTGTGTATTTATCAGTGCTGATGATGGAGGAAAGGGAGGGGTTTAGACACCATAACAATGGGCATCATGGGAGTTCTCGCTCTTATGAGCTCTTTGTTTCCTTACGTGAGCAACCAAAGCACCACAATACCTCAATAATACCCTTGCTTTTGGAGGTGAGTTCCAGAACCTGTCTCCACCATGGTTACGGTGTATCGTAATAGTCACCAGTCACAGTCCTTTTGATAAACACGTTTCCTTTGTTTAGCATCATTTATTTCTTTGCTTTTTACACTGTAACAAAAGAAAACAAAGAAAATACAATTTTAGACTTTCTACTTTTCTTTACTTTAATTATGTTACTTGTCGTTTCTTAGTAATTATTTGTGAAATTCACTAGCAATTTCTAAGTGAAAATTGTTTCAAAGTAAATCCTAGACAATTTTTTTTTCAGTCTACATTAGTTACTGGTTGGAAGGGTTTATTCCATGTTAAAATGGGGAATCCGCTCTATGTAGTGAAACACATTAGAGAAGAGACGAGGTCACGGCAGTGTAATATTCTCATCAGTATGAACCCAGCTGGCATGACAGAAGATTATCCAGATTCCCTAAGGAAAGTGTCCCTCAATCCCAATGCTCAGATCAGCTTTCTACATATCAGACCACTTTGAATCATAATGAGCGTCAGCACAAAATTGGCTTAGAGCCAGTAACTCGCACCCTCACTGACCCCAGACAGCCGCACCAACCCCTTTCACACACCTTGAAGCCATCCATCCAGCTTTAGCATAAAACATTCAGACTCATTTGTTGCAGCTCACAGGTTTTGACGGCATGGTTAAACAGTTGTCTAAGCTGCTGGTCATGCTTTAATATCACTGTAAGAGACACTAATCAGCCCACTATTGATCACTTGTTGAGAAGCAGACTTGTTGGAGCACTGATGAAAATTGATCTTTTGTTTTCTCTCGAGTTTTCTAAGGCCTACATCACAGTTTTGGAATTAAGACGGCCCTTAATGTTTATATTCGTGTTAGCTGGAGTTCGCTCTCCATGATGCTACTTTTGTAAAACAGGATTTTTTTTTTCTCTTTGCTTATTCAGTTGTTTGTTTACTGGCTATTTTACACAAAATCTAGTTTTATTTCAACCTAAAGGAATAGTTCACCCTAGGGCTGTCACGATGTTAGATTTTTCACACCACGGTTATTGTGGCCGAAATAATTCACGATATCGATATATCGCGATATCTATAGAAACCTTGGGGGAAAAAATGTCAAATCAGTCAAATTCATTTTTACTTTGTTTATTTAATTTTTCTTTTTTTGCATTTTTACTTCTTGCGTTCTTATATTTGAATGCACATTTTTGTGAAGTAAGACAAGCATGTTAAGTATATCTGGTTTCAGACTGGAGCGAAACACTGTCTGAATGTTTCCTGAAGAACTGAAAAGCTCTTAAACCTATTGTTGCGCCGGTGCAAGTCATGCAGATTTGAACAAAACAAATCAAGTGCAAATACAAAAATAAGACGAGTAAAGAAAACGGGGTAGCCTACTTAATAATCACCCCTTATTTAAACATATGAAAACAAAAACCCGCTGTTAACAGGTTAATGTCACATTTCCCATTCCATGACTAGTAAAATAATCGCAATTTACTCTCTGTAAAATAGCGTAATCCGCAGGGTGATGGACACGGAGATGGGTAAAAAGGTTGGTGGCTAAACATTCTGCAGATTGGGTTTAAAGGAACACTCCGACTTTTTGAAACTTTAGCCTATTCACCTTATCCCCCAGAGTTAGATAAGTCCATACATACCTTTTTCATCTCCGTGCGTGCTGTAACTCTATCTGACGCACCCACCGCTAGCCTAGCTTAGCACAAAGACTGGATGTAAATGGTTGCAGCTAGCATACTAATCCAAATAAGTGACAAAATAGCGCAAACATTTTCCTATTTACATGTTGTGATTCGTATAGTCACAGAGTGTACAAAAAACGAAGTCACATGAGACACAGACATATTTTAACCGTATAAATACTGGGAAATATATTCTCTGAAGGCGAAGCACTGCTACTTGGGCGGACTGATAACCGCAGCACCTGAGACGCGCTCTCTGCTCCTCACCAGTCTCTGCAGTCTCAGGTGCTGCGGTTATCACTCCGCCTAAGTAGCAGTGCTTCGCCTTCAGAAAATATATAGTCGCCTTCAGAGAATATAGTTCCCAGTATTTATGCGGTTAAAATATGTCTGTGTCTCATGTGACTTTGTTTTTTGTACACTCTGTGACTATACAAATCACAACATGTAAATAGAAACATGTTTGCGTTATTTTGTCACTTATTTGGATTAGTATGCTAGCTGCAACCATTTACATCCAGTCTTTGTGCTAAGCTAGGCTAGCGGTGGGTGCGTCAAACAGACTTATAGCACGCACGGAGATGAAAAAGGTATGTATGGACTTTTCTAACTCTGGGGGATAAGGTGAATAGGCTAAAGTCCCAAAAAGTCGGAGTGTTCCTTTAAGGGGGTCGCACACCGGACGAGAAGCGCAGCTCCGCGCCGCGTCGCGTGTAGCACACCTGACGCGCACTTTCTCAGTTCATGGCCAGCAATATTGTTATGTTTAAGGACATTATGAAATTAAGATCATGTCTGTACTATGTTATGATTGTATTGTACAATTAAATACAATCGTTGCTAAGTCTGCAGTCTGAACACTTTACCTCAGTCAGAGCGCATCCGTTAACTGAATGATTTGAGAATCTCACCTGAAAATCCGAGCCATTGCTGGGCGTCGCGGACAGACGCCGAATGGTGCCGGTGGTGTGTGTAAACTCCTAGAACATAATGTGTTCGAATTTTAAAGAATTCTCTGCGCTTCTCGTCCGGTGTGCGACCCCCTTTAAAGTGCTGTTTTCTTTGAAGTCGAAGAACTCCCATACCAGAGTGGCTGCGCGGGTGCGCGCTGCGTCTTCTGGTGCGTTCACGTGCTATGGTAATTATGGTAAATACCAAAAGTCGACATGGAAAATGCACATGAACACCCCCTCATGTGGTATTTTCCACTGGGCAACTCGTAGAATATTTTGATGCACGAGTTGCCGAGATGAGATTACCTATGACCTTTTCAAAATGGCGGAGAGCAACGCAAGAGTTGTGAATGGTAAAAATATGTACTATTCATGATCTAGAAAATATACAGCATATATTATTTACGTTTGAGTTTTGATAAATCATTTTCTTGCTGTAGCAGATGACTTAAGCAATCTAAAATAGTTTTAGCTAAATAACAGGTCTGGATCTCCATCTTTTTACCACATTACGACAACAAAAGCACTTGAACGCAACACACTGGTAAATACCAGTTCACAAGTGGAAAATATCATATTTTCCATAGCACGTGAACGCACCATTCTTCTCATTTGATAGATGTCAGCGGGTGCAATACTGCCACCTCAACTGGCGCTGGAGTATACGTGTCATGTCATCATAAAAGTCCTATTCATTTTAAACATCGTGGTTATCGCCAATACCGGTATATTGCCACACTCTAAATTAACACGATGTCGATATTTCAAGCTTTGAATATCACGATTATCGTCAATACCGGTATATTGCGACACCCCTAGTTCACCCTAAAATGAATATGTCATAATTTACTCACACTCATGTCATTCCAAATCTGTAGGACTTTCTGTTTTCTGTGGAACACACACACAAAAAAATGCATTTTGAAAAATGTCTGTTTAAACCCCAAAATTAGACCCCACTGACATTATTTGTATGGACAAAAGAAAAGAAAAAGATTGCACAACATATTTTCATTTGTGTGAACGATGTGTGAACGAATGACATAAGGCGGAGTGATCACAGAATTTTCATATTTGGCTGAACAATCCCTTTAGTATCTTTTAAGGACTGCTACCCCCTTTGCATTCAGAATGTGGATAATGCTTCCCGGTGCAGCTTAGCATTTAGCTATTCAATTAGTATTTAGCGGAATCTTTTTATTCAAAGCAGTCAATTGTTGTTTTTGATTAACTTGGGATTTAGTGTCTCATTCAATTTCAGACATATTTCTGGCATTGAGACTGCAAGATGAAAATACAAGGAACAATATCACGATGCGTCTCGACGTGTCGCAAGAGACTGTAAACAACAAACACAACTGGCTGCACTGTTTGCCACAAATAAGTAATGGAAA